AGTTGCGAAATTGGAGTTCGCGTTGCGAATTTGTTGGTCATTTTCGCAAATCCAAAAAAAGTTGGTTAAAATCGTATATTATAAGGCATTTTCGGTCACTGAAGTTATTTTCTCTTTTTAGAAAGTAACTTTTGGAATCCTGACTAATGTTATGTATATTACGTTTGTAAAATTAAATTAAAATTTTAAGTTGGTGCAGTGATTAAGCTTTGTTTTTTATTCAAGAGATCATGAGTTCAAATCCCCTCACCAGATTAATTTTACTAATTTTATCAAACAAAACGACGTCGTTTTGGTGAGGGAGCCATATCAGCAACGTCACGGCACAGAGATGTCATGTCATTGTGTCGTTAATCCATTAACGGCGGAGTGACATAATTACAATTAAAATTAAATGTTAGTGTTAAAATTGAAAAAATCGAAACGTTTGTTGCATAAACGAGCCCGAGCCTAAAGGTGAATGGTATTTGAAGTAGTTTACCCTTTTTAATATTTACATAATAATAACACGAGTCAGAACACGAGCGTTCAGATTTCAGCACATAAAACATTAAAGATTTAAAAAGATAATACATCCGAACCAAGCAAGTTCATGATGCATAAGGCAACATCACATAACTGGAAAAGACTATAATTCCGTTCCGTCAATGGCGACGCTTCATCCACATCTCGAAACCCTTCCTCGCACGTCGTCGTCCCTTCCATGACCGCCGTCACCCACGCACCGGCATCTCCGTACCGCCCTTCCAAAAACGCTCCAACACTATCCACCAGTGTCACAACCCCATCAGAGTAAAGCAGATCACAGTCCCTCAAGCAAGCCGTTTTCATCTGTCGAAGTCCCGACGTTTCGTTTCTCAGTAACCCTTTAATGACCGAGAGCGTCCGCGTCGCGTCTCGTAGAGCTAGCTCCGTCGCTACGATTGCCAGACCCTGGAGATTGCTCATATGGCTTGACGGAATTTCCAGGAGAGACGCCAAGCAGAAGGTGTAGTTGAAGACAATGGATTTATGGGAACATGTTGTACGTGTTTTGTTGATTAAATCGAAAGATGATGTTCTGGTTCCAGAGATTTCATCATAAGGTGTCAACAGGAAGAGGAAGAGGAACAAGAACATGAAGAAACAGGAGAATGATAAGAAAGATACATGCAAATGCCGCATTTTACTGCAACATGCAACAAATACTTGCATACATTATATGTTCATGTAAGCTTTGAGTTTTCTCAGGGAAGCTTCCTATATGGGAAACAAAAAACGAAGAAGCTTGAGATATAGTTGATAAGATCACATATATGGACGAAACCAGGAGACAAGTAGTCCTTGGTCCCCTTGATTAAATGGGTAAATTTCAGTTTTAGTCCCCCAAAACTAAAAGTATCATATTCATAACTTGTGATTAACAACTGTTTCAATATATTACAGATTTGGGCCATAACACCTTATGAGGGACAAAAGGGCATATATTGTGGATTATATATGTCAAGAAATGGTTCTTTGAGACAACAGCTTTACAAGGAACAAAGATTGTTGCCAAGTGTTGATAAGAATATGAGTTTTCATTTGTATTATTAATGTTGATGGGGGCATCCCAGTTTCACTCAATGGTACTCATATGACTAGGGTTCTCTCTCCAGGATTGGTCCGAGTATTGTTGGAGTACGGTCGCATCCCAATGAAATTTTAAATTGGCTTTAATATAAAACTAAGTATCTAAACTATACCGCTTTTCTCAAATATGTGCATAATTTTTTTTGATCAATTCAGATACTTAACGTTATAAAAGTTATCATTTTAGATGTTCAGACCGTAATTGTCGTAAAAAAAATTCGTTAAGTGACATGTATCATGTTATGGTAATTTAAAAAAATAAAAAATTTATAATTATATTTATAAAAAAGATCCTAATTTATCTAAATTTACAAAAAACCAAAATCCTTAAAATCATCCCCAAATCCCTAACTCTAACCCTTATTTCTCCCTTGCCACCTACGACCACCAACACCGACATAGCCATTGTCATCTCCCTTCTTGATCGTCGTCTTCCTTAATTATCGCCGATCGCATTATCGAGTCACGTTGAGTCGAGCAAAAGTCTCATTTTCCTTGATGTCATTGGGTTTAAATCACCATTTGACGTTCACGGGTGATTGTTGGTGGCTAGCCGTAGGGTGGAGGCGCGATCAGGGTTAAGTCTGGTCAATGGCAACGACGACGGTTGGCGTGAGTATATGGATTAAACTTATAGTTTTTAAAGTTTTGGGGTTTTTTTAAGATTTGAGAAAAAATTTAGTTATTTTATATAATTTTTTTTATTATTTTAGATAAAAATCTTTAAAATTACTTGAATGTAACATGTATCACTTGACAGAATTTTTTAACGACAGTAACAACTCAAAAATTTGGCATGTGGTAAAAAAAGTAGTTTACTTTCCAAACGACTATACAACTCAAACGGACCGATAATGTTCGGGATCATTTACCCTTAATTTTTAAATTGGTGATCAAAGTCGGACAGACCCAAACAAAAGGGACGGTTCGCATAGTTTACCCAACTTTTTAACTCCTACTTAATTTTAATTATAATTAAATTAAATATTTATTTATAAAAGGAAATACAATTTGTTTAATAAAAACTCTCTTTTTGTTATTTTTAATAAAAAATACAAATAATTATCCAATGGTTTTAAAAATTAAAAATAATTAATATTACATGTATCACTGCATGTAAAATTATATCGTACAAGTCGCATACTGTAAGATATCACTAAAGTGACGTATCAAAAAATACCGTAAGCAAATTCGTCATTATTATGTAAATATTAAAAAGTATAAGTATTTATTTAAAATTAATCATTTGTTAAAAATTAATTATAATTTTAATAGAATTATAATTAAATTATAATTTTTAGGGTAAACTACATGTTTAGTACCTAAACTGTCACTTTTGTTCCGATTTAGTACGTCGACTTTCATTTTTTTAAATCATACTTAACATTTATTTTTTATTTCATTTTAGTATACTGCCGTTAAAAAGTTAACGGCATAGCTAACGTGGTATTTTTTATTTAGGTAAATTACACGATTCATCAATCAACTATCTTTTCACTTCTATTTTAGTCACTAAATTTTAAAGATTTTCAATTTAATCATTAAACTTTCAAATTACTTGTATTTTGATCTCTCTTGATGATGTGGATTATTTCATTATTATTTTTAGTATGAAATAAAAAATTTATTATTAATAATGTCAAATAAAATTAAAATTTAAAATTAAAATCAAAATCAAAATCTTTAATCTTAATCTTAAATCTCCAAACCCCAACTCCGATCTAAACTCATCCCTAACTTCATCTTCATGAAGCAAATAATACCCAAAAACCTAGACTAGCCCTTGTTTTTTCTTTCATTCCCTTCTCTTCCCTTGCATGAGATAGTGCTATGATTGAGTGGAACTACACAAAAAATTAAAAATAATCTTGCAATCCATATCTATTTTCATAAAGTCTTTGTTCTTTTTTTTATTCTTTTCATTTTGATTTTATGATTAGATCGTGAAAGTAAAAAGGGGTAATGTTGCTTTTGTTTGGTTGGTGATCTAGTGAAATAAGTTATCTTTATTTTGTTTGGAAAATGAGAGAAAGCGCAAGAAAATAAGTATAAACATAAACCTAGATTTTTTTATTTTGTTTTTGTTTCATACTCTTTATCTTCTTTATTTTAGTTTTACATTTTCTAAAACTGAAACATTTTAGGAGGAAATAAGGAAGCATGGATGGTAACTTCCTTCTTATCCACTTCATGTTCTTTCCCTTTTGTTGTTGTTGTTTTTATTTTTATATAAAAAAATTATGAGTTTTTTGTTGTTTCAATTGTGGGTATTGAGCAATGTTTACATTTTTCTTAACTTGTCTTTGTGAAGGTGATGGTGGATTGGAGGTTGTTGTATCCTTGATACTTAAATTTGTTTCTTTTTGTTCATTTATTTCCGGTTCGCAAACGGGTGATGTCGGTGGGGTTGGGGTTTGGATTGATGATTGAGGTTTAGGGATTAAGGGTTGGATTAAAATCATAAATTTTTATTTTTATTTTAAATCTTATTTGATATTAAATATTAATTAATTTATCATGTCATACTAATAATAATAATAATATAGTATGAGAGGATCAAAATAGAAGCAATTCAAAATGATTAAATTCAAAAAATTTAAATTTTAGTGATCAAAATCGGAGTGAAAAGATAGTTGAGTGATGAATTGTGTAATTTACCCAAATAAAAAATACTAGTAAGATGTGCCCATTAACTTTTTAATGGCGGTGTACTAAAATTTTGAAAAAATTGAATGTTGAGGTAATAAAACAGAATAAAATAATAGTTTAGATACTAAAGTGTAGTTTACCAAGAGTAGTTGATTTTCCAACGGACTGAAGTGCTAGATGTTGTAGTAGTTGATTTTTCGACGAGTAAAGGTGATTGCCGACGTTGACTGATGTTGATAGTCGGTTCTAATTTAATAACTTAATAATATTTATTCTAAACAAATTAAATTAATTATTATTTTTCATAAGAAAAATAATTTTATTAAAATTATAATTAAATTTTAATAAATAGTTAATTTTAAATAAATACTTATATTTTTTTAATATTTATATAATAAAAATAATTTCACTTATCGTTCATTTGGGTGTGTCACTTTAGTTAGTGATATATTACGATATGTGACGTGCGGTGTACTCGTACCTATCACAGCATAATGTAAGCCGAGAGATAAAAAAGCACTATCAACATTTTTTTAATAAAATGAGGAAACTAAGCAAATAAAAAGCTAAGCTCCACTGTCATGCAACGAATCACCCCCAAACATCACCGGAGAGTAGGGATCAGTGATCGAATCGATAGAATCAAGTCAAAATATTTGGAAATATTCAATGGCAAATCTCTATGCATAAGTGATTTGCCAAAAGTCAGAACACATGAGCATTGAGAGTTCAGCACATAAAACAATAAAGATTTAAAAAGATAATACATCCGAACCAAGCAAGTTCATGATGCATAAGGCAACATCACATAACTGGAAAAGACTATAATTCCGTTCCGTCAATGGCGACGCTTCATCCACATCTCGAAACCCTTCCTCGCACGTCGTCGTCCCTTCCATGACCGCCGTCACCCACGCACCGGCATCTCCGTACCGCCCTTCCAAAAACGCTCCAACACTATCCACCAGTGTCACAACCCCATCAGAGTAAAGCAGATCACAGTCCCTCAAGCAAGCCGTTTTCATCTGTCGACGTCCCGACGTTTCGTTTCTCAGTAACCCTTTAATGACCGAGAGCGTCCGCGTCGCGTCTCGTAGAGCTAGCTCCGTCGCTACGATTGCCAGACCCTGGAGATTGGTCATATGGCTGGCTGGAATTTCCAGGAGAGACGCCAAGCAGAAGGTGTAGTTGAAGACAATGGATTTATGGGAACATGTTGTACATGTTTTGTTGATTAAATCGAAAGATGATGTTCTGGATGCAGAGATTTCATCATAAGGTGTCAACAGGAAGAGGAAGAGGAACAAGAACATGAAGAAACAGCAGAATGATAATAATGATACATGCCAATGCCGCATTTTACTGCAACATGCAACAAATACATACATGCAAACATTATATGTTCATGTAATCTTTGAGTTTTCTCAGGGAAGCTTCCTATATGGGAAACAAAAAACGAAGAAGCTTGAGATATAGTTGATAAGATAAGATCACATATATGGACGAAACCAGGAAACAAGTAGTCCTTGGTCCCCTTGTTTAAATGGGTAAATTTCAGTTTTAGTCCCCAAAACTAAAAGTATCATATTCATAACTTGTGATTAACAACTGTTTCAATATATTACAGATTGGGGCCATAACACCTTATTAGGGACAAAAGGGCATATATTTTGGATTATATATGTCAATAAATGGTTCTTTGAGACAGCAGCTTTACAAGGAACAAAGATTGTTGCAAGTGTTGATCAGAATGAGTTTTCATTTGTATTATTAATGTTGATGGGGATTGTAGACACTCATTTTCGTCCATATTTTTAATTTTTATTTTATACATATATATATCTATATATATATATATATTATAGTTTTTAAAAAAACGTTTTTTGAAATACATACAATATATAGATTTGAAAAATATTTTTCCAAAACTATATATTATATGGTTTTAAAACATTTATTTATTTATTTATTTATTATTACTATTATTATTAATTTATATATTACAATTATTTTGTAGGCCGATGTGGAACCCCCACCGTCTGATCTTCCCAAATGTTAATTTTGATAATTGTTCTTGGTTCCAGTTTCGAGTGTTCCCGAATCTTTTGCAATTCTTTTGTTGCATCCTTTTGGTGATGTACAATTCATCGATGTATGAACGGATGATTTGTTGGGTCGAAGGAGTGAATGTACAGCAGTTGAGGTGTTAATGGAGCACGTGAGATGAAAACCAAGATAAGGACCAATGTGGCCACGTGAGTTTCCGAGTGGTGATGCCATGCATAAGGCACATGTGGAACCCTACACATCTTAACCGTTTCTCTTCGTGGGAAACTCGTTGCACCCATTATCTCCTCACCTGACATCTTTTGCTGAGGACGTGGGGTCTTATTTTTGGAATATAAACAAAATTCTGGAAGTGTTTCAAAGGGGGGAAGCAATAACAAAGAAAAAAAGAATTGAAGAGAGAGAGGTGCTATGGCCTCTCATAGCACGAAACCATCCAGCAGTATACTCATGCCACCAGCTTCCTCAACCTTGTTAGCCTCCTCTGAGAAAATCTACATCCACGGCGTCAACGCCCTTAACCAACCCACACACCCCTCTCCTTCAGAAGACTAATCAAAGCCATGCCTTTCTCAAACCCAAAACCACCTTCCATTATGGAACCTCACCCATGCCCTTCTCCATCTCTTGTTCATCCACCATACAACCTTCCCTTCAATCCCAATCTCAAGAGCGGGTTTTTAATTTCGCCGCTGGTCCCGCCACCTTGCCCGAGAACGTCCTCCTCAAGGCCCACGCCGATCTATGTGCGCCTCTCGACATATCCGAAGACTCCGCCGTTTTGTTCCTCCAAGGTGGGGCGACAACCCAGTTCGCTTCTGTCCCTTTGAATCTGTCAGCCTGATGACACCGTTGATAATCTTGTTACTGGTTCGTGGGGAGACAAGGCTTTCAAAGAAGCTAAGAAATACTGCAAACCCAAAGTTGTTTGGAATGGGAAATCGGAGAATTACGTGAAGGTTCCCTCGTTTGATGGGTTAGAACTAAGCCCGAATGCCAAGTATTTGCATATATATGCGCCAATGAGACTATTTATGGGGTCAAAGCATCAGAAAATCTGTATGCACAGGAGTATAAAGGCGACACAAACACAAACAAAAAGGCAGGGAGGAAGAGAAGGAAAGACAGTCCATTCACCTGCACTCACGGGTTGCAAGGGTTTATGGTGTTTAATGCTGTCGGTGGTGGTACTGGATCTGGTCTGGGATCTTTGTTGGAGCGTCCGTCAGTTGATTATTGGAAAAATTTGAAGCTCGGGCTCAGTCTGCAAGAACTGCTACAAAAGTAAATGAGATGGTGGGAAATGTCTACACTAGTAGTGCTTTGTCTTTGAGAAGATGGAAGAGTAAGTTTTAGCAATGGAGTCTGACGTTGAAGCTCTTGGGCGGTTGTCCACCAATGATCTTGACGGGAAGGTATTGACTACCCTGCTTTTAGTTTTACAATCTTTCAATCCAATATATACTTTCCATGGCCAAATTTCCATTGTCGGATGTAATCATTTGCATTAATTGTTGGCAATGGCCATTATAGGGCCAATTTTAACAATGTTAATGGGTTTTTGTGGGCGTAACCATGAAATGCCAACTTAGCTTTTGGCTCGGTTATACTGAATTGAATTATTTTGAAATCGAAGCGTACTTTCTGAAATATTTTCTGTGAGTTTATCCAAGAATATGAAATATGGACCAAAGAACGCTCCTGCTCTATTGATTTACTTGTTGTCATTTGCTAACATCAGACTTTTTGAAATTCAACAGCGTTTTGGTGTTGTAAGTTCTATGAGTTCAGTTGTTTAAATGTATGATAGCCTAGAATACATTTTAACACTTGTAGTATTCCATGATTATAATTCCCAACAGGAAGGCCATTGGAACCAAATTGTTATTGTTGAACCGATAGTCTTCAAATTACTTACCCTTGTTGGACCACATTGTTAATAGTCTTCGTATTTATTTATTTGTTTATTTTGATTCTTAATCTAACATTCTTTTTGACTTTTTTTTTCCAACTCAATCAAAGGTAAGTAATTTGAATTTAATTTTTAATTTTTAATTTAAATTTCAATTTTTCGCAACTAAGACAGTCGTTAAATTAATTGGTACCGAAAGGGCGGTGCAAGGGTGCTAATCCTTCCTTGACCGTAACCGACTCCCGAGCCCGACACATTTCTGGTAAAATGCAGATCAGGTAAGATGGTGTCCGATCTACCTAAATATCATTTTAAAATGATCGGTGGCGACTCTAACCCAATTCATCAATCCAAGTCGAAGCCCAATTCCGGGGCTCAACCGAAAGACGGTTGCGACAGCTTGGCGACTCTGCTGGGGACAGGTAAGTGAGTCAGGCCAGAATTAACTTTCGGTTGTCTTTTTAGGCGAAAATGGTAAATTTAAATTTTAATTTATTTATTCGATTCCAATTATTTACCTTTGATTATTTTTTTCAAATAAATAGTTGTACTGACATTTTTTTCAATGGTTTCAGATTTTTGAAAAGTTTCTATCGTTGGCTCTATACCCGAGCTCCAAACCCTTTTAAGTGGGGGCGAAAGCGACGCCTTCGTGTGAATTTATTCACCGTATGGGCCTAGCAAGTAACCTTCGGGATTCATATACCTTATGTCTTCGTGTGAATTTATTCTCCGTATGGGCATAAGGGAATGTTTCCTCTCGAGTTTAACTTAGTCTACATAAGCGTGTAATGGGCTTAGGACTAAGGGTCTGGCAAGCCCAAGGGGGCACCGGCAAGGAGAACTCGAGTACCGTTTTTTTAGAACCTAAACCGGGAGAGTGCAGGGAATTAGAGCCCACCCCAAAACCTCATTCCAAACCTTAGGCTATTTTATTTCCTACTTTATTTTCTGCTCAAAAGCATGCAAACTAGACAAATATGCGGTTGGGATTTGTTTGAAATTAGCATGCGAGATAGAGATCATGTCCGGGTAGGAATTAAAGCATGTGGGGTAGATATCATGTGGGGTAGGATTTTTTCATTTTTATTATTGTTTTGATTTACCTCACTAACTCTTTTATTTTTTGATTTCTTTTATTCTGTTTTCATCATTCGCATCATTTAAAACGGGGTGTTGATCCACCAAAAATGTGTTTGTTAAACATGAATAATCAGCATTAATGGACAAAAGGATTGTAATACAAGAGATGAAAATGCAGAAGACAGTCTACAAGGCGACTATGTGTCACCTTCAATCCAGAGGATGTGGTGCCCACAATTGAAGGGTATATCATCATACTGCATTATAAAGGACTCAATGAACCGGGTCTACATCAAGCGCAATGAAAGTCCATCTTTGAAGAATTGACTGCCAAAGGTTGCAGAGCAAAACGAGGAAAAGGTTACAGACCCGGACGCTCCTTTCAAAAACTACGAGAACAAGACAGCGAAACCCTAGCTGAGCTGAATGTCATTGCTGACGAATTCAAGAAGAAAACTTTGATAGAGGGCTCCAATGGTGTTGCTGCTAAGGAACAGACTCGGCAGGGAGTGAAAGTCGGAGATGCAGTCCTTCGAGACCTTTTTTGGGGCAAGCAGCTCGCTATTTGCACATTTTAGCCAAAGGAGCCGGAACGGTTTGACAGGGTATTCAACCGGTGACAGACGAAGGCAGAAGACTAGTCAACCTATCAGAAGCTGTTCGGGGTCTATGCCTTCAAGATATTTTTGTCTCTTAAGACGTAACACTTTTGTCCCAATAAGGATTATTTATAATAACAGATACATTTTTTTGGATCAATGCCTCGAACATTTCATGCATCATGCATTCCGACATATTGTGCATTTTGTTATTTTCTTTACATTCGCATTATTTTTTCCCTTTTTTATTACATTCACATGTCTCATAAAAAATGAGAACATTTCGATCCTATGACATATAAGGAGCTTTACCAACAGTTGTTTGACGACACGTGGTGTCACCATATCCAGAAAAATCCATGAAGCCCCGTACCCCAAGTAGTATGATGAGAACACTCATTGCAAAAATCATAGCGGAGTCTCAGGGCGCACTATCGAGAATTACTCCACAATCAAGAGAATCATACAGAAAATACGTTACAAGAATCGGATCGACTTCAACAACTTAGGGGTATCCAAGTGGAGAAGATCATTTCATCATTTGAGGCATTCTGTTTGAATCTGTTTTTTCATTATTTCTCAAGTTTTTGTAAGGACTTTTAAATAAATTTATGTTGCTTTAATCGACTTCAACAACTTGGGGGCATCCAAGTGGAGAAGATCATTTCATCATTTGAGGCATTCTGTTTGAATCTGT